ATTCCCAGTATTAACATACATATGTTATTATTTCTATCATTCCCAGTATTAACATACATATGTTATTATATCTATCCTTCCCAGTATTAAAATACATGTTATTATATCTATCCTTCCCAGTATTAACATACATATGTTATTATTTCTATCATTCCCAGTATTAACATACATGTGTTATTATTTCTATCATTCCCAGTATTAACATACATGTGTTATTATTTCTATCATTCCCAGTATTAACATACATATGTTATTATTTCTATCATTCCCAGTGTACATTGTCATTCCACTGGAACCAAAAGTTGTGTCCAAAACATTTGCTGCATTTCTTGTACATTTAATAAGAGTTAAGATAAATGAAAACAACAAAAATTGTCTGCAATAGAGCCTCGACATACATATAACGAAATTTAAAAGTTACATTTAAAATAAAATCTCTTTGCTTGTACTGCAGAAATGCGAAGGAGGATGTTCTGCAAACTCTCTGTGTCAAATGACTCCAAGCCACTGTAACATCACATATTTCACCTTGTCTGAAATATACCACGTTGATTTATACATGCTAATGTTATCCCAGGATACAGTATTATTAGTTATATAAGGATTATGCTTGTGTCATAGACCAGATGTCAGTTACAAGGCCAGAAGAACTACACAAAACATTCACATCATAGATCCAATCATGAGAATTCATCGTAAAGGCACTAACACAGGTAAAACAAGAACTATCTGGGTACAATGTTTGTATATCAACAACTAGACATACAACTGTATGATGGGTGTGTAATGGTACAAACATGCTGTAGGGCTGCACAGGCATCATAGTATGTTCAGAACCTAATTATGGACAGGTAAGGATTGCATCTGTGTTCAGGCATCATAGTATGTTCAGAACGTAATTATGGACAGGTAAGGATTACATCTGTGTTCAGGCATCATAGTATGTTCAGAACGTAATTATGGACAGGTAAGGATTGCATCTGTGTTCAGGCATCATAGTATGTTCAGAACGTAATTATGGACAGGTAAGGATTACATCTGTGTTCATGCGTATTACCTAGGTTTTCATTTCCTATCCTCACTGCAGGTTTTCAAACAAATAATTCTGATAAAGGTTCTAGATAAATTGTGAAGCTTATCGGTATGTTTTTTCATATTCATAAAATTTATTTTCAAATTTTAAAATATTAAAAAATATTATAAGCTTCAAAATGTATAAAATATGTACATAAATTAAAACAACATAAGTATATAGAGATTTTTTCTGGGTTACATCTTTTTATTCTTGAGTACAACGTTTCAGGGCTTGTTCTGGCCCCATCATCAGGTAAAACTGAACAGTAACTGTTAACTCTGGCCGTGACGTCACAATGCTTATGACGTCACAATGCTATGACGACGCAATACATGTGGTGGTCAATAGATACAGATGACATGGCTAATAGAATACATGTTATTATGAATATATAAGATGTCGTTTACTGCAAAATTAATGGATAAATTTAGAACTGTGCAGATACTTATACAAAATTGTTGATTGATTTAGAAATGTACAGAGATGTATTTATAAATGTATAGAATGTAAAGTAATAGCAGTGTATATATAGAAATTATGCTTTATACATGGGAACAGTGACGAGGGTATTGTCTTATTGTTTTATGTACCATGCATTTGGGAGATAGACACCCTGATCCCTGTTTATTGCTGGTTTCGTGCGTTTGATGAAGATAGCTTCAATCAACTTGCGTTTCCGCCAGTCACTGATGTTTTTTGCGAGGACTTCAGTTTCCCAGTCAATTTCATGATCAGGATTATTCATGATGTGTTGGGAAACTGCCCTGAAACGTTGTACTCAAGAATAAAAAGAAGATGTAACCCAGAAAAAATCTCTATGGTCTTTAAATATCATCTTCTAAAATGCCAATCAAGCATCTAACATAAGTATAGTTATTAGTGTATGATATAATTAAGAATTAAAATTTTGGAATAAATTTGATAAATATTCCTACTGAACATGTGAGTGATGTGACTTTGTTGGATATGGGTTGGTAAAGGCTGCTTCAAGAAATATTCCAATCATTAGGACATAAGTTGTTTCATTTCATACCACTGAAGTGATCGATGTTCTGAAACATCAAAATCCAGTTTACTTTTACAGATCTGTAACCAGTTCAATAAAAAAAGGATTAAATCCTTATTTCCTACAGCCAATTTTGAAACTAGTTGGAAGAAACATGATATATATTATAAATGGGTTATATGGAATCCTGTCTCTGATTCTGGTCTCATTGTTCATGAAAGATGTTCATAGTTTATTCATCAACAGGTATAGATCATTAGAACTGGTGATGTTTGAAAACAATCGGCAGTGTGATATTTAAACAAACAGCCCCTTCAACACAGATACTGTAGGAGGGTCTATCTACAAGAGGCACTTACTGACACTACAATCAAATATCCACTAAATGAAACCCATTCATTTGTAAACTGGGGGTCTTTAGGACATATGGAAAGTACTACCAACGTACAGAAATGGAGTTAAAATATAAATGAATATCCTACAACTAAAACAAATCAGTCTATGTCATTAACTTCATTTGATGTGGTTTAAACGTTTGTATGCTTGTCTTTTATTAAAAATATATATAATTTCTCATACATTATGCATGTTCATTCTATCGTAGCAAAAATACTATTCAACTGTACTTGCATAAATACATTACCAAATTTTATTCTAAATGAAATTTAGATAATGTTACATAGACATATTCTTCAGTTATTGGTCAATAATATAATGGTGCATCATTGATTGACACACTGATGAGTAGACAGTAGTCAACTGAGTTGTCTCCCTTTGACCAGAGCTTCAGTAAATCTTGGGAATATATGGTAATGCAATAAGGTAAAGATCAAAAGAAATCACAGATTTCTGATTTATCAGAAAAATGCCTGTGTACATAAATGAAGCTGATAATCATTCTATTTTAAAACAGATAATATAAACATTATACAACATAAGATCATAAGAATTTGCTTACCACTAGTTTTTAAATAAAAGTATCCAAGATCAGGTTCTACATGCTGCCTTTGTTTACTAATACAATTTGCAAAGAATTCCATCATTAAAAAATGAACATTGAATTTTTAACAATTTTTGACATAAACAGAAAACATAATATTAAAATTATGATTTAAAACTATTATAATTAGGAAAGTGATATGATTTTGTTTTACTATTCCACTCAATAGGAAGCCGATATGATTCTCGTGGTTTTGTGGAAATATATGGAAATGATGAAATTCTTTGGAATGCCAGTTGCCATTTAGTCATCTGATCCACCCGGTTCTCGCCACTTGGTTGAAATTTTGTCTGTCAGGTCATTTGCCGATAAATGCTGTTTCCTGGAATTAGATATAAATATTAGATGTATAATGATCAATGTTAAATTCAATGTATAATAATAGAAGCAGAAAATAAAGATTTTAACAAACTGTGTTGGTTATTACTAGGACAGAGACAAGTTACCAGAGTACCCAGGTCAGGTTAGGTCAATAATTGTCACTATCTGGGTCCATCCGGGACCAAAATTTGTACCTGTCCTAGCCCTAGTCATTACCATGGCAACATTCTAGATCAAGCTGCAAGGTGGTAAAATAAAGAGAGAAATTATGATCACAGTATGAAATTTCTTTAAAATGTGCAACAGAATTAAAATTTTGCCTATCCAGATTTCTTTTCCACTGGAGAGAACAATGTAGACAATATATGAGAAGAGGTGAGGTGAGGTGAAATTTGGTTTAACGTCATGCTTGAGAATATTTCGCTCATATGACGACGTGCATGCGTGTGTATGTGCGGCTGCTTGTACTAGCCCAGACTGAAGCTGGTTTTATAGTGCTAGCCCACTGAGATACCATGCCGCAGTGAAGCACGAATACCCCACTCAGACACATTATACTGACTCCGAGCCGACCAGTCCTTGTTGTACCCATTAATGCCGAGCGCCAGACAGGGACCAACAAGTACCATATTTTAACGTCTTTTGGTATGACGCGGTCTGGGATCGAACCCACGACCTTCCGCTCTCCGGGTGGACGCTCTAACCACTACACCACGGAGGCGGTCATATATGAGAAGAAGTGACATCATACATGACTGAACTATAAATTATAAGTTGTTCACTGGTCTCGAGGGGGACATGGGCTGATGTACCCTCGATCTTTGTTTATGTTCCCTGAGCCCGATGGGCGAGCCGAACATAAAGAAACATCGAGGGTACATCAGCCCATGGGCCCCGAGGGACCAGTGAACAACGTATTTATCTTACCGAACACCTCAATGGTAATTTTGAACTGTTTGAAGCATTGGGTATCAGATCATAGTATGGAGTACCAGGCGACAAGAAAAAGAAAGTTATCTCCCTTCCATCGATTTGCATTCGCAAAACATCAGTAATTTCCGTACATTATGCATGATTCAATGTTATTTGAGATAAAGAATCACTACTACGAAGTATCAAATGAGTTCGGCATTCTCAGGGGGGTACATAGAAAATGTTACTCGCTTGTAAGAGCGGTACATTGAAAATAAAAGAAGAGTGCTCAGCCAATCAGAAAACAATATATATGTGTGAGGCAACATAATGATTAATATAAATTCCCTGTGATATATATTGGATCATTTCCAATGATATAAATGTATTAATTTCTGGACCAAACTACATATAAGGAATAAAGACATACCTTGAGACATATCATAAAACATTTACCAACATTACCCTGACTTGAACACACTGTTGGTTATGTTGCAGTTACAGAAATATTCCTGTGTAGGTACTCTTCTGAATACGCACATGGTGTAAAATCCGGAAAATGAAGGAGAAGATAACTCTTAATTGTTGTAAATTTGAAACAAAAATATTGGTTATAAAATAATATTTGAGTGCAATGTCACAGGTATTGTAGACACTGATTGTATGTAGTGTTGAATAACACATTCTCACCATAAAACAGGAAACTTGTCGGAGATGTCATTCACGCAGATGTGGCCTGCCTCCAGTTCATGGATGCTCCATCGTAAGAATCGTACAGCGAGTTCCTGCACATAATATAGTTACAAACATGAGATTTCATTGCAACTATTTATTGTCATACACCAAACTCATTATAATCAGATCATTACTCAGATATAAAAAATAACAGAATGCAATAGTCATCCACAACAATATAATGCCATGGTTATATTTGTTATCATATTTGTTTTCAAAATCATCATCATCATCATCATCATCATTATCATCCCATGGTTATATTTGTTTGCAAGATCATTATCATCATCATCATTACCCTCCACTTTTCCACACTGTCGTCGTCCATGCCGAGCCACATCTGTATCTCCATCATTCTCTTCTCCAGCTGACAACAAACACAGACAGTGGTCACAACCTCTACAACATCCAGCCACCACACAGACTCAACTTTACAAAGCTGAATGATAATAACTACATGATCTTACTGATTCATACAATCCATGTTAACAATAAGGTATATAGTCCAACAACAGTTGCTTCACTTTTTACCATCAGTTTGCCTCCAGAGACAAAGCTGTCACAAAACCTGCTTGAAAAAGTTAACACACAACATGTCTAAGCATGTCAACATTCTACCTTCTGTATTGATCGAGATATCTGAAAGGTGTCTGGGTTTTTCTTTGCCAGTTGACATGCGACCCGGACCTTCTCGCGTGTAGCTCTACAGATGATATACCTGGAATATATATGTGATTCATACATCGCTAGTGTCAGGAGGGAAGTACATGTAACATTCAGCTTGTAAAATTCCTCTATGGACACATATAGGTAACAAGTCATAACAAGTTTTTATAGAATTGTATCAGTTTGGTTGTTTTTCACAATTCAACCTATCTCGTGACTGCTACTGGACTCTCAGTATAATGATTCTGCATGCAAGAGATTCACAAAGACAGCAACTGGTCAACCAGCAAGATTCTTTAAACATGCCAGCTGACCAGCCAATCAGACAGCAAGATTCTTTAAACATGCCAGCTGACCAGCCAATCAGACAGCAAGATTCTTTAAACATGCCAGCTGACCAGCCAATCAGACAGCAAGATTCTTTAAACATGCCAGCTGACCAGCCAATCAGACAGCAAGATTCTTTAAACATGCCAGCTGACCAGCCAATCAGACAGCAAAATTCTTTAAACATGCCAGCTGACCAGCCAATCAGACAGCAAGATTCTTCAACGTGTAATGATAATTATAAATACATTTACAGAAAATGAGTATTTCCTGCTACCTCTTTGTGAGGCCGTAACTTACTACTGTGAGGTTTCATGACAAACTTACCATATAGTTTTCTTTTTCAGCAGCCCAATCACACAGTTAGATGAGTCGAGGAAATACAGGACTTCCCCTTCATAGTTGTAACCCTGGCGGATCTGAAAAATATGATAAAGGAAATATTAATAAAAGTGGTACAAATTCCACAATATTGACAAAATCTTCCCAGCTATGACTGCAGCTTGTATATATCGAGTCTCCACCAGATGACCAAGTGATTGATATTATGAGCAATTATTCATGTTTTCATGGGAACCAAGTCACCAAGCCACAATTCATTAAGTCACCTCTAATAAACAGAATAGGTTGCTGGGAGTTGTGACTGGTGCTGACCAGAGGCCAGGTACATTTGTTGTAGTTCTTTCATTATTAAACATTATACCATTTGAGGGTATAAACTTTGTTTTACTGTCTTAAATTAAATAAATCATTTTGAAGCAGGAGAGTTTCACTTATGTAAGATAATGAATGGTCTCATCATATTATCAAGTTTAGTTATGTCTAAGCTACTTATAATACATTTGTATATTTTTAAAAAAGAGGGGGGGGGCTTCCTTTGGTCACTAATTCTTAGTTCTACTGAAAACGTATGTTTACATTCTGACATAATTTAGTTTCATACATGTTTTCTAGTTTTGAAAAATAAGGCATAAGGGAAGAACCAGTATTGTTTTACTTGATATTGTTTTGTACAATAATATCCTAACATGGTGTCTATTCAGTTTTGTTATAATACAGGTTGTTATCTGAAATTATCCACTTGTTTGCAAGATGCAAAATATAAATTCATATATATTTTCTTACCTCAATCATTCTTTTCTCTACAGCTGTTGGGGGTATGATTTCATATTCAACAGTTTGTAAACCTAAAGCTCGGGCAATCTGTGAAAAACAAGAACATATCATACTTCTGAAACAGGTTCCGCAGGAATCTGAAATAAGATTAATATCATATATACTATCAAATACACATGAAATATCTACTCTCATCGTAATACAAGGAAGAAATCAATGCAGTCATCAGTTATTATCATACAATTCCTGTCGTTCAACAAATATTGTCAAGTTATTGACTTAAAGACGTGTTACTTTACAGAGTTATCATCAGTGGGTGGTACAATCAGTAGAGATGGGAGATATGACTGTGTAGCACATGAAACTGACTAATATTTGTTTCGGTCAATAGATTTCCATCAGTTGATCTGATGAAAAGATATCCTCATGTTTCATAAGGCAGAGATGAACTTTCAATATTATGGTGCATTTTCTATATAAATGAGGACATGACACCTTGGATGGTTAAAGCAGAAATGTGATTAAAGTCTGTTACCGACCAGGGCCACGTTTCACAAAGCTCTTGTATGCCTAAGATCTCGTAACTTTTCTCTTAGCATTCATACCTCCTATACTGCAACATTAACTTACGATTGTCGTAGCGTTACAAGAGCCCAGTGAAACAGATTGATGTATTATTATAACTGTTCAGATATAGTGTCATAGATGTAATCCTTATAGTACAAGGCCCATTTCACAAAGCAGTCTTTGTGCTAACTTGATCATAACTCCCTGACTTAAACAAGGAAATAGACAAAGATTTGTGTTGGAAGCGGTGTATTAGGTTCAGGACTGCTTCACTTTGGTCATTATTGGAGGAAAAACACAAGCTACCCAAGTCATTGCCCAGGTAGCTACACCAGGTCATTACACCGCATTGTTACCCAGGACGTTGAAACCCCAAATATCCAAAAGATCATTATCAGGGCAACTCTGGAATTTAAAATTATGGCCATTGGTTCCACATTTCATACATGCAACTAGCCCAGTAATCACAGGGGAATCTTCAGCCTGGAGTTGCTACGGCTCCTTTCATTTGGCTTCTGATGTTAAATACTCATACACACTATGGAGACCTTTACTGTGTACTGACAGACATTGTACTGCTACTGCTGCAGACATTGATACTAGATACTGACAGACATTGTACTGCTGCTAGATACTGACAGACATTGTACTGCTGCTAGATACTGACAGACATTGTACTGCTGCTAGATACTGACAGACATTGTACTGCTGCTAGATACTGACAGACATTGTACTGCTGCTAGATACTGACAGACATTGTACTGCTGCTAGATACTGACAGACATTGTACTGACAGACTGCTAGCTAGATACTGACAGACATTGTACTGCTGCTAGATACTGACAGACATTGTACTGCTGCTAGATACTGACAGACATTGTACTGCTGCTAGATACTGACAGACATTGTACTGCTGCTAGATACTGACAGACATTGTACTGCTGCTAGATACTGACAGACATTGTACTGCTGCTAGATACTGACAGACATTGTACTGCTAGATACTGACAGACATTGCTGCTAGATACTGACAGACATTGTACTGCTGCTAGATACTGACAGACATTGTACTGCTGCTAGATACTGACAGACATTGTACTGCTGCTAGATACTGACAGACATTGTACTGCTGCTAGATACTGACAGACATTGTACTGCTGCTAGATACTGACAGACATTGTACTGCTGCTAGATACTGACAGACATTGTACTGCTGCTAGATACTGACAGACATTGTACTGCTGCTAGATACTGACAGACATTGTACTGCTGCTAGATACTGACATTGACTGCTGCTAGATACTGACAGACATTGTACTGCTGCTAGATACTGACAGACATTGTACTGCTGCTAGATACTGACAGACATTGTACTGCTGCTAGATACTGACAGACATTGTACTGCTGCTAGATACTGACATACTGACAGACATTGTACTACTGCTAGATACTGACAGACATTGTACTGCAGATATTGACAGACATTGTACTGCTGCTAGATACTGACAGACATTGTACTGCTGCTAGATACTGACAGACATTGACAGACTGCTGCTAGATACTGACAGACATTGCTGCTAGATACTGACAGACATTGTATTGCTGCTGCTAGATACTGACAGACATTGTACTGCTGCTAGATACTGACAGACATTGTACTGCTGCTAGATACTGACAGACATTGTACTGCTGCTACTGCTGCTAGATACTGACAGACATTGTACTGCTGCTAGATACTGACAGACATTGTACTGCTGCTAGATACTGTGACAGAGATTGACAGACTGCTGCTAGATACTGCTGCTAGACTGAGACATTGTACTGCTGCTAGATACTGACAGACATTGTACTGCTGCTAGATACTGACAGACATTGTACTGCTGCTAGATACTGACAGACAGTACTGCTGCTAGATACTGACAGACATTACTGCTGCTAGATACTGACAGCCATTGTACTGCTGCTAGATACTGACAGACATTGTACTGCTGCTAGATACTGACAGACATTGTACTGCTGCTAGATACTGACAGACATTGTACTGCTGCTAGATACTGACAGACATTGTACTGCTGCTAGATACTGACAGACATTGTACTGCTGCTAGATACTGACAGACATTGTACTGCTGCTAGATACTGACAGCCATTGTACTGCTGCTAGATACTGACAGACATTGTACTGCTGCTAGATACTGACAGACATTGTACTGCTGCTAGATACTGACAGACATTGTACTGCTGCTAGATACTGACAGACATTGTACTGCTGCTAGATACTGACAGACATTGTACTGCTGCTAGATACTGACAGACATTGTACTGCTGCTAGATACTGACACATTGTACTGCTGCTAGATACAGACATTGTACTGCTGCTAGATACTAGATTTGTACTGCTGCTAGATACAGACAGACATTGTACTGCTGCTAGATACTGACAGACATTGTACTGCTGCTAGATACAGACATTGTACTGCTGCTGACAGACATTGTACTGCTGCTAGATACTGACAGACATTGTACTGCTGCTAGATACTGACAGACATTGTACTGCTGCTAGATTGACAGACATTGTACTGCTGCTAGATACTGACAGACATTGTACTGCTGCTAGATACTGACAGACATTGTACTGCTGCTACATTGATACTGACAGACATTGTACTGCTGCTAGATACTGACTGACCAGACATTGTACTGCTGCTGATACCTGCTACTGATGCTAGACAGACATTTGTACTGCTGCTAGATACTGACAGACATTGTACTGCTGCTGCTAGATACTGACAGACATTGTACTGCTGCTAGATACATTGACTGCTGCATTGTACTGTACTGCTAGATACTGACAGACATTGTACTGCTGCTAGACTGACACATTGACAGACATTGTACTGCTGCTAGATACTGACACACTGCTGCTAGATTGTACTGCTGCTAGATACTGACAGCTGCATTGTACTGCTGCTAGATACTGACAGACATTGCTGCTAGATACTGACAGACATTGTACTGCTGCTAGATACTGACAGACATTGTACTGCTGCTAGATACTGACAGACATTGTGCTGCTGCTGCTAGATGCTGCTGACAGACATTGTACTGCTGCTAGATACTGACAGACATTGTACTGCTGCTAGATACTGACAGACATTGTACTGCTGCTAGATACTGTACAGCTGATTGTACTGCTTGACATTGTACTGCTGCTAGATGACAGCCATTGTACTGCTGCTAGATACTGACTGCTGCTAGATACTGACAGACATTGTACTGCTGCTAGATACTGACAGACATTGTACTGCTGCTAGATGCTGACTGCTAGATACTTGTACTGCTGCTAGATACTGACAGACATTGTACTGCTGCTAGATACTGACAGACATTGTACTGCTGCTAGATACTGACAGACATTGTACTGCTGCTAGATACTGACAGACATTGTACTGCTGCTAGATACTGACAGCCATTGTACTGCTGCTAGACAGTGAGTGACACTGACCTCAATACCAACATGTGGAGGGAGCGTTGACAGCTGGGAGTCGGAGGGCGGCTCGAGGTCTGTACTGGTCCATGTAATAAACTGTAGCTGGGGCCTGGCAGATGAAAACACAGGATAAATATATCGTGTTTAGGTATATAGTTAAACACATATTTATGTACTGTTTGAATACAATATTTGGAATAATCATAATCGCATGCATTGAGATCTCACTTCTCACTTATGTGGCCCTATTTCATTTGTGAAGGTAAGGTTTTCTAACATAATGAAGTTGAAGTAATATATATTTACATAGGAAGAATACAGAGCATATTTTCTTTTCTCTTTATGATTGGTTTTTGTTGTAACTTCAAGTTCCATAAAACAGAAATATGTCTGGCTACTGCATTCATTCTTCTGCCAAAATGGAGGCTTCAGTGATGTGCGTTGAGAACCACTAAGCAACGTACCCTGGTAAATGGGAGAGGTCTTCTACATGCTGATGGTGTGGGGCCAGTATCTCGAACACCGCTGTGTACCGACTCAAACACAGGAACTGCAGCAACCTGAAACATCAGGAAACACTCTGGAATAAGAGTCAAGGACTGTTGGGATACTGCATACTGTGTCACAACGGCATCACTTTGTCACTCACTACTGACACTAGGGGCTGGGGAGTAGCACAGTGGATAATGTTTTGGCTGGTCATGCAGGTGAAGCAGGTTCTATTTTCAATGTGGGCATAAGCTGGGATTTATCTAGGATTTTCAGCTTACTGACATGTAAATTTTAAAATTACAACGCTTCTGTCCCATTTATATTCAAAGATATTGTAGCTTGTATTCATTGTAATAATGCCTTGAGCCCTTTTTTTCAAATAAGTTTTAAGGATAATTAAAAATAATAAAATAATCCTAAATTAAGGAAAACCAATGTTTCCTTTACTGAAATGCTGAAGACAACTGATATGAACCCGGAGATAATTATCAGTCGATGAGAAATCCAGAAAACATTCCTGTAGTGACTACTTGTCACTCCCACTGTAGACATGTCCGACCTTAGCAATGTCAGCAATAACTTACATGTAACGTTCAAGAAAGTTAGTAATCATTATGAGCATGCTGGTATGGTTCTGCATTGTATGTTATCAATCAAACAACAGATCTGTTGACCTTCTCAAACAAGCTAAAAGAAATTATTAATATATTATTTAATAATTAAACTCATTATTTCATTGATAAATTGGTTGTATATGTGACAATTAAAATTTGCACTGTAATCTATTTCACAGCGATGTATAATCAAAATATCTTTGGTTAGCACTGACACTGCACAACTAAATGTTATTCAAAACAGCCATGATTTTGTAAATTAAAATAACATGGTGACAGAACACAGGAGAAAGCTCACACACATATAAGGAAATAGATCATGATTTTATAACCCAGCCTTTGATGATAAAGAACAGAGGTGACAGGAAGGATGAGTTTATTTGTCATGATTATCCCATCACTTGAATATACGTTCTGACAGACAACTAGTGAACGGTTATCTGAACATGCTAAAAACATGAAAAACTAAAGCAGAATTACTTTAAATAAATAAAACTGTCACAAATCCATAAGCATGTCTGTAGTTTTTTAGCTGTTTTTGAGCCTATTGCCGTTGTTAAGTGATGCAGCCATTATAACATACTTATAACAGAAACTGTGTCAGCAAGTAAACATACGGATATATTTCGATGTAATATCAGCATTGTATGGAAGTTAGAGTGGGACAAAATTCTTCGATCATAGCCTCATTACCTACTGAAATCTAAGACAGACATCATAACACATACTGTATGTAAATCTGACAGAAAGCAATCTAGTTAATACTTTCAATGACCTCCCTGAGTAGATTGCCATAACATTAGAATCATAATGTTTTAGGAAAGATTCTTCTTCTTGTCAATCTGTTCTAACAAGATCAATACTGTTCACATAATAATATATTGCAAAAGTGTTGATGCATTGACAGATTTGGTCTAAGGAAGATGTAGACTTCTTCACAATACATTATCAGTATGACATTTAATCAAATTCCACACTGTTCTTTCATGGTTTAAACAAGCAGCAATGCCACCAGTATTTTGAACCACAACCCATCAGAATGGTGTCCAATCATCCTAATTAGTAAAAAGGGCTTTTGAAGTGTCATAATATGCATGAATCATAAAGGATCTCTCTCTAATATTCCTTCTCATCTTGAATAATGCTTGCAACAAGTGGATTTGATTTATTGTGAGGCATGATAATTGAGAGCCAAAGTTGCAAGAATCTGTTGTTAACTTGTTGCTATGGATACCTGGATGACCTCACCTTTGTCTGTCTGAAGCCTCCATCTGATCCAGGACATCCATGACAGTAGTACACACTTCACGTGCAATACGGAATCGATCCTCAGGGTAACGCTTGATATCCACTGAAACAAAATACAGATCAAATGTAGAGTCTGGTATGATCTTGTGAGTGAGTGAGTGAGTGAGTGAGTTGGGTTACACGCCCCTTGAACAGTGTTCCAGTTATATCATATCATGACTGCATAGTTTCGGAGGAAAACCAGGAGAGACTTGCTGACAAAGATGAGAGTCTGAGATTTAAGCACTTGATCATTAGAGTCTGGTATGTCTGATTGACCGTGAGGGCCGTTTCTACACAACAAAGTGGAAGAACTTGCATTGTAACTAATAATATTTTGACAGGGGCGTAGCTACCGTTATAAAAAAAGGCCCGGGCTTACACATAATTTTTGCTAAAAAGGTTGGGCAAGCCCTCAATACTATCTGAATATAAAGCTTTGCAACCTATCGGGCTAACACGAAAAAAGGGGCTTGCAACACGCCTGTTTGATGCTGTATATGTGTAGTATCACAAGCCATACATTATGAGATATATATCCCATCATGTATCAGTCAATGGCTGTAAAAAATATAATTCATAATTAAAACCACAACAACAATAATTGGTAGTTCAAATAACGGTTGCTGTTTTGAGACTCACATTTTCTTCTGAATAGCAGATGGACATTCTTGGATCCTCCACAAAGGACATATTCACCATCAATCATCATGCAGCTGAGATGTGCTGCCTCCCCATTGGCTTTCCTTGTGGCCACAACATTAGAGGTAGATTCTATTGGCTGAAAACATACATATACAACCAATCACAGTGGAGCTGAGATGTGCTGCCTCCCCATTGGCTTTCCTTGTGGCCACAACATTAGAGGTAGATTCTATTGGCTGAAAACATACATATACAACCAATCACAGTGGAGCTGAGATGTGCTGCCTCCCCATTGGCTTTCCTTGTGGCCACAACATTAGAGGTAGATTCTGCTGCCTCCCCATTGGCTTTCCTTGTGGCCACAACATTAGAGGTAGATTCTATTGGCTGAAAACATACATATACAACCAATCACAGTGGAGCTGAGATGTGCTGCCTCCCCATTGGCTTTCCTTGTGGCCACAACATTAGAGGTAGATTCTATTGGCTGAAAACATACATATACAACCAATCACAGTGGAGCTGAGATGTGCTGCCTCCCCATTGGCTTTCCTTGTGGCCACAACATTAGAGGTAGATTCTATTGGCTGAAAACATACATATACAACCAATCATAGTGGAGCTGAGACATACTGACTCCCTAATGGCTTTCCCTGTGAGAAATGTTGCAAAATATGAAGTTTGAATATCCCTTTTACAATTTCCTGGTTTTATCATGCCACAGTATAATGGTGGCAACCCTCAATCTATTCATTATTCTGAAAATCATCATATTACCCTTTGATAAAATGAGTATCAGAAGTAGGTCTGAAAACTTTAGAAAATTAAAAGATGCTCAAAATCACTTGTAGCATTTTCCAGCCAAGCCATTGTTACATACCTGAGTGAAGTATTTTTTCCACGTGAAGTTATCCCCCTGTTCCCTGTCATCATCATCGCCAAGTCCCCCTGTAAATTTCTTCAGGGCATAGAGAACACAGGTGGTTCCTCTGTGGGGGCCATTCTCAATGTTCAGAAAACAGTTACCCCTGGCAACCTGAAATCACAGATTTTGAATTTTGATTAAAACATATCATACACCTCTTCTAAAAACCTTGGATATTTACAAAGGTTGTGTGAATATGAACAACATGAAGCGATATCAGCAGTTTCTGGTATCATGGCATCATGCTGGCCTGTAATGGGTAACCCACTGATGGCATAACATTACTATTAACTGATAAGTGCAAAAGTTAAAAATAAAGCAAGCGACTCATTCTTGAGTGCTGTTTTGGTCCTAAATACTGCTAAGGAATGACCACAGCCATCAATACCCTCAGAGTCAGAATAGTCTTGTCCTACAGGCGGTCAACCATTCTATCTATTTTCCCAATGGAACCCCCAAAATAGATGTTTCTTTCAACAAACCTGCCATTGTTAAGTGATACTCTTGTTTTGGGGAGAAGATTGTTTTCTAATAAAAATGCAATGGTACAAATATTTAAGCTTTCACACTGGGCACTCATGAAGAATACTAACATAGAGCAGAACAAGAGTCATCAGAAGATGACAAATCTCCCTGTCTCCCACAAATTTGACAGAGGTAAGCATCTTGCCGTACTAGAGTCTTATGTCCAACTTCATGAGAGTACATGTATCCATCTGTCTGTATACATGTTATTGAGCTATTGAAACAAGTGTCATCAGAAGATTACTATGACTATATACCCAGCATATAATGGGAAATAAAAAAGGAATAGGGATAAGTTACTTTGTATTTGTATGTCGGATGTCAGAAATCGTAGATGGCTTATGATATAACATGTTACTAGGCTCTTGGTACCAGAAAAAAAAACATTCTAAATATCCCTACATATTGAAAGACACCAATATGATCAATGTGTGTGTACAGTTTTGTGAATAAATACTTTAGTTTTAGAGATATGGTTCAGACAAGGACACTACTATAAACAGAGTTGAAATTAGTTATATAAATCCGTAACGGCATCCTAAAAGGCACCAGCTGACAACTTGTTCTCTGTGTGTGCATTCGAGGATGAGTTCCTATTTGTCTTAGAGTTACGGTCTGGACAAGAAATTATTACAGATGGACAGATGGACATATTATAAACAGGGGAATAAAATGAAAAAGCACATGCTTGTAGTCACGTAACTTGATCATAAGCTACAAACATTTGTACTTGAAGGTACTTTAAGATCCCACCAAAAGCACTGTCAATATATAAGATCATATGTCTTGCTGGCTCCATGTACCTATGAAGCTGTATAGCTGCCCCTAATATCCATAAAGTGGGGGAATGAACTTACTTGAATAACTGACACACTGAGTCATCTTGTACCTGAGACTATCAGGGGGTGTCACCCAATAACAAGACAATGCCTGAGGAAGATTTGTGCTGAGCTTGCAATTTTAGGCAGGATCACAATAACAAATCAGTTGGCATGTATCTTGAATATACCTTTTGTGATTTTCAAAATATGTATTTGTTGGTTCAGCATAGCATGCCTGATTCAGCAACATTTCATGCAAAACTACAGTAGTTTGTAAATAGCTGACTCTGTACCAGACAACCCAGGCTGATGTGCAATGGGGGTTATGATAAAAAAAACAATCAACCAAAATATGAAGACCATTTAGTCAAGGGCCCTCCTACCCCCTGTCACAATTTTAAGACACATGTAGAAATATCTCGAAAAACATCTACCTTGGTAATAAGGAAACCGATTTACGGTATGAGCAAGTGAATTAGTTTCACAAGAAAAAGAAATGAGCCTAATTTGTTCAACAAAAGTGGTAATTTACGTTGTAGAATTTCTGTACGCTCAGTTCTTGAAATACAATCAAGTCACAATCCAAATCCAATATGACACTGCAAGCTGGGAAATAGTTCTCACAGCATTCCCCAAATCACCATGGCAACAGTTTGTAATTAAGTAGGGCCATGTTCTTCACACTGCTGATCAATCTAAATGGTGACGATGTGACTTAATCATATTAGGAATGGTTCACAGTGAAGACTTGACATCAGTCAGTAATCCCCATGCTTGCCACAAAAATCAATGGCCTCCAATTTCTTTCAGATGTTTATGTCGAGGTAATGTATCTAATCATGTTCAAATCGTTGTCAAAATATTTATTCTGCACAGGAAGCACAAAATCTACGGACATAAAGAACCTAGTTTAGAGACATAATCCATATTTTTTTAAATCAAACAAATCAATCACTTCAGCCTAGATACAGGAGCATGTTTCTAATTTGTTCCTTCAGGACAAAATAGACTCTTAACACAGGCCACATCAACATATATCTCGTTTCTTATCATTTACACTGGTAGGTAGGGAGACAAGAGAATGACTTCAGTTGGCAGTCATGGTCAACCAGAGCAATATGCACACTAGCAAGTAGATTAAGGCATGGTCTCTGAATATATATAATTTTGATTGTAACAAATAAACCCACTTAAATCGAAAAGGAGCCCCAGGGAGGCCAGAGATTCAGAACCTGGGAAAATCTAGACTTTAGCATTGCAGAGGGGGCTACCTGTAGGGAAAATAATATGGTTCTGGGCTTGTGAGACAGACTAACTAGCAAGGGCTTCCAGTGACTGCCTGCAACAATAGATGGAGCAAAGGGTCTGTTTGGGTGATGTGTTACAAGAAGTTGAAAACTTAGGTTCCTATCATTTCCACTCCACAGTCGAAGAACAAGAGAAAGTGCATAGTGTGAGATAGGATAATTTAAAAAATATATACCTTTTTTCTAATCACTATTTTTCCAAGCAGTGTTTTGGAAGAAATTTTTCCTTGCCACTATAGTCTGTTTGCAGTGAAAACGTACCGATGAATTTCAATTTAAACAAAAAAAGTAAATTGAATAAAGTGGAATCATGATTGCGAATCCTCATAATTTTACCTTGCCAAATGAACATTAAAATCTCAGAATTTTATTCAACTTAGGATAAAAGTTGTTTAACAAACGATCATAGTTTCAAATCGCTATTATTGGTTTGTATTACAAGGGGGTATGCACATTAAATTAAACACCGGTACATGTAGAGTTGGTCTAAGTTAACGCTCATCACGAACCGCACGTGCATTTGTTTCACTGTTCCAACTACTGCTCTTACTCGGGCACTTTATCTGATTAGAACATAGCAGATCACTTTGACATTGCTATGAAATTGCTGACCAAGTGTGAATGATTTTTGCTCACACACTTACTGCACAAATATAAGGAAAATACCATATGGGATCACTTGCGCTAACCTTTTCTTCCCTGGTTAAGTGCTTTCTGAGATGAAATGGTCAAAGTTTAAGGATGTTCATATGTTAAATGTTCAGCTGAAGCATTAGGGAACAAATACGGGCATTGAATCAGCATGATAAGTGTGTCTGTGATAGACCTGAAATTTGCATCAAATTGCAATTACGATAAACCTATTTTTTCTCGAGTGATGGATGATGTTTGGTCTGAATAGGAAACATTCTGCCCATTCTAGCAATTCCAAATGTCACGTTTTGGTAGATCTGGCAATTGAAATAGATCTTTGTTGGTTGTCAATTGGGAAACTGGTTCTGACTTAATCAATGATCATCTCTTATAATCCATCGGTTGCTCTTAAATGACCGATCATCAATCATAATCAGTGCCTTCCAGAAATTAAAATGTCACAGTATCTGAATTTATCTTGATTTCAACTGAAAACATATCTTCCAGTGACAGAAAGTGTGTAGTCTGTCATACAGACCCTGAAGCAAATATATCCAAGAAATCCCACGCAAGTCTAGAAACTGTGGCAAGTCTAGATTTCCACAGAAAATGAAGAAAGTCTTCGGGCTCCTTTTCATTATATTTTATTTTTTTCACTATGAGCTTTTTTTCTGTAAACTACGTTCATTTCAGAGACTAGTTGTTAGTCTAGTAAGTGTGTCAAGTTACAAGAAACAAAGATATAATGCTCATGGAACACAAACAATACAGAATGAAACAATGCTGAAGCAGTCTCAGGATTTGACTGCATTGTTTGGTCATCATTGGGATGGCCGAGGGTAAATATATCATAATACCTGTATAGGACATAATTTGAAATTAACAAATAAAAATAATAATTCTTTGGACGAAATTACCCAGTTTGTAAATTCACAATAATTGCATGTAATTAAATATTCATCAAATTATTATCATCACAAAATTCCTTTTTTTCAAATTTATTAGAAACTAAAGTCCTAAAAGTGACCACTGCATACATACAGGGACATACCATTGTATCATTGCATTGCTGCTGTTCCAGGTTGGAATCGGTCTCCAACAACATAATTTAAAAATCTTAAGTTAAAATTGAAAGAAAATCTGAAATTCTATCCTAAACAGATATATTTCTTCTGAAATAAAATGAAAATATATAATTAAAAATTCAGTTTCACAAATTGTGTCTGTTCTGAATTTCAGCATGACTTCAGATTCAAAGTAAAGATGGAATGGGAGCGTGCTGCAAGGTTGACACCTACAGGACTAAGATACGCAGACAGGTTTGCCAGGCCAACATAACATGGGGAACGTATGATGTGCATTTCCAAACTTGAAGTTTTAATCAGTCAACGTGTGAAAATGTATTCACAATGAACATCATTAACAATTAATACAAGATATTGTGACATTCTGTACTATCACCAGCTTGACCATCAGTGCCTAACTCTGAAAGTGAGACTACATGGTCAACTTATTTCACTTAAATTGGTCTTCGTGGATGAAGTGTCTCCATTTTGGTTAATTTTGAACCTAAAATGATGGCTATGTCATGTCATTTTTAACAGTTTTTATGAGAAATTGCCAGAAACAGAGAGTTTTGTTAGGCTGACCTGCTCGTAGGGGCTAAAATGGGCAAATTAACCTAAATGTCAGCCTGGCACTACCTGAAATCTCAACAATAACTGTCAAACTCCACCACAAATTAGCTCTTGTAGTGTATAGTTTCTACATGGGTTTTCAACACTGGAAAATTCGCTTGATTTGTCAGCAAAATGTCTTAACAAGGGGCACTTGTGCCCATTTCTGCAATCCTGCAATTCTTCAGGGGCAACATTAAGCCAATTAACTTGATGTTGTTGAAACATCCTCCACAGCAACAGCCCACCTCCTCTGTGTCATGCCTGTCCGGTGACCTTCTCACCCCCACTCTCCCACAGTTGGCAGTTCATTACACTGAAGCACCTCTTGACCCCTACACCTAATCACCACTCTTAATTAAAATACCCAACAACAGGCAAAATCTCAACTCATTATTATTACTCTTTTTCTTGATAGGTTATTTACATGATCATAAAAACATACACAAAAAACATAAAGTCAGAACTTATGACTCATAATTAAAAATTAAAATCAATTAATGCTTAAAAATATATATATATATATATGACTATCAATTATATAATAGAGATATTTTTGGCAGCTAAAGGGCACAAAACAGTATTTGACAGAATAACAGCTGTGTTAAGAATATCGCAAAAGAAGGTAAAATTTGAGTTCATGCTGTGACATCATTTTCAAGTTCACCTTGCTCAACATATACTGCACAATTTAACACTACATGGTACTCATCTTCAACCTCATGCATACAATTTAAACATGTTCTCTCTTTGACTGGTACACTATTATATCTCCCTGTTTCCACATGTATAGGTTAAGAATCACTTCTAAATTGTACCAGGGGTTTTCTGCGGGATTTGGGCATAGGGCGGGCAACATACATATCCAGACTGCACTCTTGTTTTAGTCTCAGCTTGTTACCTCCCCTGCCGTATGTACCTGACAGATGTGTAACAGCACACTTACATTCATTTTCATTTATCCTCAAAATATTATCACTTAACTTTTGAAAATTACAACATAAGATCTATTGGTTTCGCTGAAGGGGTCGTTGTCGGCACGGGTACTACAGATATGTACCCCAGGTATGTTTCTGTATACAGACATGTACCCTAAACAAAATCAGAATACAGAAACGTATCCTAGGACGATTCCATTCTGCATTGTGCCTTTTTCTTGATCGAAACTGTCATACTGTTGTATCAGATGCATTTGATTGCGTTATATAAGAGCATACACAGTACTGAATATTTCGCGGTGCACAACGTACACCACTGGCAATCAGCTTAACGGGAATAACTACATACGGTTTCGGTATTGGGTTGCGGAATATGGACTCATCCGTCATTTAGGGTACCGGATACGTTTCGTAGTTTGACTTTGTTAAGTGTACATGTCTGTATACAGAAACGTTCCTGGGGTACATATCTGTAGTACCTGTGCCGACAACTACCCCTTCAGCATTAGTTTTTTTCGAATAAGAGAGTTTAAACTTGACTTTCGTCTGGTTGCCCACAAATACCTGATCATCATAAAGATCAATCCAGTCCCAGACTTAATTTTGGTTAGGTCCGACCTTTGGATGGGTGTAAAAAGAAACTGGTCGGTTTGCAGAGATGTATCTTTAAGATTGACTGGTTCTGGACAATGGTCAGTCAATGTTTTTACAACGGTAGGGTTAATGCTAAAATGTTCACCGGAAAATAAGTGGACAAGATTCACGCTATCTCAGCATCTAGTCGTTCCTCTAATTATCTGTACTTCTTTTTGGGGGCAGTCTTTGGCCTGCATTGTCCTGAAGTATCTTTGCCTAGTTCAGTCCTTGTTCATCTGCCAAGAAACTTGGCCATCTCGAAAAGGTTGGGATGTTGTTTTCCCACAACCTTCTTGAGACGGCCATGCCAACACCTGAGTTTGTTGTTTGTGCGGGGACTGTCAGTATTTTTGGTACTGTCGAAAAGATTCACCTTGACTTCGTTGTGTACAGGACCGTGGTTGTAGTCTCAAGGTATTTAGGAAATCATGTCATTCACTACTGATATTGATATGCAGTCTTTCTGAATGCATATCCACGACATCCATTCTCCCCTTTTCTTCTTGTTCACAATAAACATATAACCATTTACATAAATGTATCTTCATCCACGAGAAGTAGGAAGAAACCTACTGTGCATTTGCCATAACTGAATGATGATGAAAACTGTCAGTTCCAACATTCTTATAGCTTGCAAGTTTATGTAAGAAATTGAATAACTCACTAGTAATGAACTGAGTGAACTAAACTTACTCACTAAACCCTATGGTTCACATGTCAACCCGCTGGTACAAATGTCAAATTTCGTTGCCTGAGTGGACAAATTTTACATTTTGTAGAAAACCAGTGTCTTTTACCTGGACCCAAAGGTCGAACATACGGGACTACCCCTTAATTTTCTACCTACAACAAGCTAGTCTGCAATGATCACATCAGTCAAGTAGCAATACCTTTGACACCGAAGCATTTTCACACTGTTCCACACTAACTGAAGTCTGCTTGAGAAATAATTGTCTTTTGTATAATCATGATTGCATTGTATCCCATTTCACTAGACATCAAAATCAAATTGTGTCATATGGATATTAGATAGGATTCAATTTTAATTTTTAGGAACCCAATGTAAGAACTTTGGCTGAAAGTTCTAATTGTTATGTCTTAGATGATGTTAGTGGTAGGGGTGAAACGGTTACCGCAGTATTAGTAGAACTGCAGTATTTTGCCTTTGGTTCGGTATACCGTAATACAATAAAAATATTTGATATTTTGGGTTTTCGTCTTTTTTCTGTAATCATAAATGACCGTTTTTTTCATTCAAAATAACAAAGATTATAGTTATTTCTTTCCATGGTATTAAACAATTCAAGGTTTGCCTCTGTTGTCAACTTTCTGCATTATGATCACATCTTATATACCGAACTGAAGGCCTTGTATCAATACATACTGTGCCATGGTAAGAGCGTACTGTTTCACCCCTAGTTAGTGGAATAAGTTCCTACTCAGAATGACATATCTTGAATACATGGTTAATGTTGATGCACCCAACATATTATAACAGCAATCCTCAAAAGACAAAGGTTTTACAGATACCAATATCTTCACCATATAAGAAAGAAGTTGTTATCCCTGAAAATGTTGTCTACTTTGTCATTTCTAAGAAATATCTGTGAACAAATCAGAAAACCACTTCTGGAGAATAACCTTACAGCTAACTTGTAGTTATTGATTATCTACCCAAAGTGAATTAATTTTGTATGTTCTGAACCTTGGTAAGGAATACACAATGCCATTTAGATAGTCAATAAATGAACCATATATTATATTTGGGATTATGCTTAGCTTTCAGACATGATTGCCATGCCGATTTACTGTGGAAAACCAGGGAAACCATTTCAAACCTAATATTTCTGTCATATGTGCGATATATTTACCTTTTCTTGCATAGACATGTTATTGTCATAGATTTCATCATCTGGTCCATGTCTTGCAAATACTTTGACATCAATCAAATGTCCTTTGTATGCACCAAGTTGAATACCTCAAACCTAATATTTCTGTCATATATGCGATATATTTACCTTTTCTCGTATAGACTTGTTATTGTCATAGATTTCATCATCTGGTCCATGTCTTGCAAATACTTTGACATCAATCAAATGTCCTTGGTATGCATTAGGTAGAATACCCACAGGCACTGAAGACTTGATAACCTTAAGATATGGAATACGCACTGCCCAGTCTAACCAGCTGAAAAGAAAAGATATCATAAAGGAGTTCAACCCTATTAAGGAAAACTTGTTTGTAGATACTGTCATTTTTTCACACACTTGTTCTATCTCCAAACAGACATGAGCTGAGCTGTTCATATAGCTATGAGGTGCAGCTAATTGTACAGTAACAACAACACAATCTGGTACTAGTTTTCCCACATCAATTATGTAAAAATACAAACCAAACTTTGCAAAACTGATCCTATGCCTTTTAGACAAGAGTTATTAATACTGTTTCAGGGAATCAATGTATGTAATATTCTTTACAATACAACTTCATAGTTTGCTGACATGAAACTTTCTATGGACAATTATCTGAAACAGGAGCAACACAATGCCATGAAATACTGTTACAAATGATAAAAAAATTCTAATGTTAATGAAATTAATTAACTTCTTGTTCTTCCATCTATTGGGGTCTAACACTAAGACATGGCCCTACATCACATCATGTGGGATCATGTCATAACATCACAGCTCTTCCGTGTTCTTTGCCCTTCCAATGTCTAAATGCACATCAAAGACTCAATTCAAATTATATCAAGATTAAAGAGCCTTCTTGTTGTGGGTATACGTTTATTGCTCTGAATGCGTTTACTTGGACCTATATAAGCTAATGATATCTGGGAACATTTCACTTCGAAGACATTGCTGAATCAGTTGTCAGTCATTGATAAACAGGTTATTGATGAACAGTCTGCACCATATTGTCCGAATACGATCAACATATCATGAAGTTATTTCATTCACGGCAAGTTATTTCACATTATACACAGTGGGGGAAATATTATACATTTCCAATTTTAATGACAAATATCTACGAATATGATGCCTGGCAGTCACAGGCAGGTCAATATGGTAAAACCTTGAACAGGCTGAAGTAAAGGTGGGCGGGGCTGTTTGGTCAGTCAACAGTTTCGGTCAATTATTACCTACCTTGCAGCTTTTGAATTTTCCTTATCTATATCATATGAAACATCAAGGCACTTAAGATGATCCGATACATCTTCGAAGAAACAATTGCCCTCTATTTTTTGTAAAATTCCCGATTTCAAATCGTCTGCTGCTATTGTTTCCTGTTTCATGGGCGCGGCCATATTACAGTTCCGCAGCAAATGTAACGTGACCAGTAATTGACAACAAACGAATTGATTCAAATGAAACAAACGCGTTTTAAATAGTTCTCAATGCAAGTTTTCCGTTTGAATCACAAATCCTTTGGGAATCAATCCAACAATGGAATCACTCTAAAGTGAACAACACATATTTCTTGATCTGTTCATGAGACTCGAGCCTTCGTTGACAAGGACCAGCGCTGGGCGTTAATAGAGCTTCCCTGGTTACGCGAAGTGAACGCCCAGAGTAGCATTAAATTCTGATCCAGGCACAATTCATCCACTCAGAAACATATGTAATGTCATAAACGTGAACTGAAGGGGAGATTTTCGTTCAGCGCGTCAGTGAGATCTTTCGTCACGTGTTGCAATCCAGTCTGCGCTGACGGCCGTCTGCGATACGTTTCCTGCTGTGATATAACGGGCCACTGCTTATTATCCTCATCAAGTGTATGGGGATGTAAACACTGGTCTTTATAACTTCCTTGACACGAAGGAAAACCAAATGGGATTTCGCTGAAAATGTCAATTTTCCTTTGTCTTTTTTTAGTATAAATGCAGGTAGTGGTAGTGAAAAAAATATTTTGGAAAATGAGGTATTAATGTATTTTCATTATCACACCTCTTTTTCAATAGACGGTCTCACAGTATTTAACTTTATATTTAAACTGTGGGGGTTTTCCCACTCAGAGATTTACCAAACTGACACGTGTTGGGTGTCGACAGGCATCATATGAGCTCACTCAATCCGTTGTCTGAATGTTGTCTAACGTCTTTGAAACTCGTATAATCAATATGCCCTCATGTCGATGCAGGCGGGCCATCAATTAATACACCAGGCTTTCATCCACGGCCTATCAAGCTGGAACACGCCCCTTGTCTTGAAAAATCTATACTCTCTTTGTGTTTTTATTTACGCGTTATCTGCTGGTGTTACGCGATGCAAACAGCCTCCCAATTGTGTATAGTACATCACCTTCCGTTGTCAAGATAAACAAACGTCGCCCCACGTGAGAAAGCAACGTATTGTCATGTGCGAATTGTTACATTCAGGTCAGTGGGAGGGCGAATTTCATCACTAATTTGCTCCGATGTGGTCCAAACGCATCTACATATAGTTTGGGACCACGGAAGGCAATCTCGTTGAAATATTAACTTATTGAAGAATCAGAAGCACTCCCCACCACTCAGTGGAACTTCAGATGCTTACGGATATAACATTTAATGTCGTTTAGGACAGGATCATTTTCTTTTTCAATGACGGCTCTAAAACATGCAAATATATCCTCTGGCTGGAGACATCATACGATTCTATCTTTTTCACAATATGTCCAGTTGAAGGAGTTGTTTTTTTTTACTGAGCGGATATCTAACCTCGGATACGTGCATGTAGTCAGGCGAGGCAATCAGTTAGATGTATCTCTCATCAACGGACAGATGTCCAACTTTGGCGTGATGTTCCAACACAACAATTGTCGCATTTACTCTGTAAAACTTGTAAATTATTCAGTCTGAAACGTTAGTCAAGAATACCGTACCAGTTGCTAACGTATGACGGTGGTTACCATGGGAACTATACACATCACACACATATTGATACACAAGTGCTCATAACTGCAATCCACATTAAAATCACTGTTTGTGTTACCATAACAACTGAAGACCATATATGTTTGTCGTGACTTCCTGTTTCATGTATTGTGTTACATCATGTATTGTGTTATTTGATGCATGCATGAATGTACGTATGTATGTGTGTAAGAATCGGTATGATGTTGCATGTGTGATGTATGTGAATACACATTTTTATCAATCCTTAATGTTTTACTGTGTTTCATATGTGTCCCATGGGCCCAATGGCCAGATGCTATGTAATCGTGTCATCATGTACTGCTTATTAGCATGTGACACAATAATATAATATTTTTTCTTCTTCTGTGTTATACCTGGGATACACCCGGCCAATATTCGTGGAAAGTGATCAGTTGATACCACGCCCACTATATTAGGCGTCAATCTAGCGTTGTTGTTATGGCCTAAGTTAAGCGATAGTGGAGACCAGCCACTCAGATTTGACACCAGGGGTCGTAAAACTGTCCAGCCAATCATTTAAGTGTAAACAAAGGACATAGATAAAGGCGAACCTTTAAGCTGGTGTCCCACACAACACGAGCTTGTCAAAGCATGTATATATCGAACTGACTACCTGAACGGATATTGTATCATATATGTAAAAAAGAGGGTTAATATGTCCCTGGCCGCGTGTATCTTAAATTGGGAGGTTAATTCTCAACAAGCACGGGTTGTTATATGGTAGAGTGAAGATATCTGACACAATTCCTTACTTTGACTCATAGGCGGATCCAGAGGGGGTGCAGGGGTGCGCACCCCCCCTTTTGTCCTGAAAGTTTATTAAATGACCATTGAAACTCGGGTGAAAATGAAGTGTGCACACTCCCTTTTCTCAATAGTGTGACACCCCACCACACACACACACACCTTTCTCAAAAAGCTGTATCCGCCCCTGTGACTTATGCTACCTTTTTCGTGAACAGCTGCCTTGCCTTGCCATGTGTAAGTAACGGGCACCGCCGGTGAGTCAGGATAGGCGAACTATTCGCGAACATCTGATGTCATCTTCTGAGAGTGATTCATTAACGCAAATCGAACCTGTTGTTAGAACGAATTTCATATGATTATGGAAAGGGCTCTTTCGCTTACATTTTAAGCTGCAATTAAGTTTGTGAATGTTGTTTGACGCCGCAGTGGATAGTTACAGCTATATAACGACAGGGTTGAACTTACCGGTACAAACATCCGTCAGTCACACGAACAGATTCGGTTTGACTGACTGAATCTGGTTTTACGCCGCTTTTAGCAATATTCCAGCAACATCACGGCGGGGGACACCAGAAATGGGCTTCACACATTGTACCCATGTGGGGATTCGAACCCTGGATCTTCGGCGTGACGAGCCAACGCTTTAACCACTAGGCTACCCCACAGCCCCAGATTCGGTTTGAGTAGAACACGGTGTAACATGTATGATGACCTAAATGAGCCGACCATTTGTTTTTACATTTGTAATACATGTATCTATTTCTCAATACACTGTGGCATTATGTTTGCATGTTTGTGTTCGTCTGACTTCATAACAGTGAGTGTCCTGTAAAATTATCTACTCGAAATTCGGATTTAGACCTATGCCTTTCATGAATGAATGTAGAAAGTCCCTCGCCCAAGGCTCGGGATCAACACCACCCATTCAGTGGGGACAGATAATAAGATAAATAGGATAATCTGTAATTCCTCTTAGCTGGTTGGTTTTTCTTTAAATACCCATATAGCCTAATGCATTTATATTCAGTAATGTTTACTGAGCATTATACAGTTTTGTCCTTATACTGGTTGGCTACTCCGTAGTTTTATTGTGTGCGAAGAGGCCCATAGCAACGTAGAAGAGGCCCATAGCAACGTGACGTCTTGTGAATGCAATGGTCGCAAATTATTTAAGATGTCGTCATCTATTTATCATGACATCACAAATACAATGAATGTGTGACGTCGTTCCAACAATAAAATAACTAAGGTGGTGTCTCGATTCAGTATAAGGAAAAACAAAAGAGACTGCTCTCTCAAAAGAGTTGGTTTGTTGATTTGTTGATTTGTTGTGCAACGCCGCACTAGCAATATTCCAGCTATATGGCGGCGGTCTGTAAATAATCGAATCTGGACCAGACATTCCAGTGCTCGAAAGAGACTACGGGTAATATAAGCTACTCGCAAGTAACTCGAACTTACGTATTATCTGTACGTGTGAATTATTTTAATCTGGACCACTCTTTCCAATTTCTCGTAGCTCGTTTTATATTCTCTAACTGGAACCTGGTACTGATTGGAAGATATACTGTCCGTGAAACCCGCGTGCTTCAATAGGGGCCTAGAACTAGCCACACAAGGCAATATAAACTGAAACACTCTATGCATTGTCATACAGTATTATACATCTTGGGATGAGGAAACACTAACGCTGTAGCACGAACTACATGCAGATTTATGTCCATATATGTTTTTACCCGTAACGATCCGGGTTAGAACTGGTCTTCAGCAACGTTAGGGCGACTAATGGAATCGGGTGGTCAGGCCCGTTATTGGTTGACACATGTTATATCCCAGTTGCGTAGATCGGTGCTCATGCTGTTGACCACTCGACTGTCTGGTCCAGACTCGATTATTTACTGACCACGGCCATATAGCTGGAATATTACTGTGTGCAGCGTTGAACAATTAACAAACAAACAAGTATACAGGTTTGGTGTTTTCCTTCTGAAGGCAGTTAACGGAACAGGTGAATATTGGTTAAGGGCCAGGTAACAGAATACATGTTAACGCTCACCATATTTGCTGACGTGAAACCATTGTTGGATTGTATTGCCATACAGATTCCAGTGAATTCACTGTGGTTTCCGTGCAATATTGATAAAAAGTGACACGTGAAAGTGATTAACATGTATCTGTCACGACTCCACGGCTGGCCCTTAGTTCTTGAGGAAGGATATAATTACAGTGATTCTGTGTTAATCAATCAGACATCCCCATTCGTGACACTGACTAAACAGCAATTATCTGACTTAATTAACATATGATTTTTTTCTCTCTTTACTGTAATGCTTACAATACCGGATCCTCCCCACACCAGGGTTATTGATCATTGGGTGCCTGATCCATGTTCTGTTGATTTTACCCAATTTACATACAAGCTAGAATAATAAAGGTGTATGTATACAATTGAAACCAAAAATAATGTTCATTCACCGATTCCCAAGGAAGAAAGATGAAAATATCACAAACCACTGACTAATACTTAAAAATAAGGGTATAACAATTGCGTGTGGCTGTGAGGTAAACCACTGTTGATGTCATGAGAGAATTTGAAAAGGCACCTGACCCATGATTTGAGATATCCTCCATAATGGAAAAAGGAGAAAAGGACTGATATAGGTTTATAACAGTAGCACCCACCACATAAGCTACAAAGATATCTGTTGGGCTGAAATAGTCTTAGCACTTAAAACTCGGGTAACTGGGATTGATCTTTTTAAATGGATTTGCAATGTGTTACCAACAGAATACAAATGCACTGAAGAATCCAAAACGTGGTAGTGTAAGTGTTTTGTTGTAAGAGCCTAGCAGGCTCACGGGCTCAGGCACAAGAATGAGGGAATTGATACATTTCAAGTATCCAGTTGCCATGGTTACAAATCTGTTCCCTCTTTTTAAAATCTAGGACGTTTTTTTATCCTTTTCAAATTAATAATATTCTTGAAATTTGAAAGAATCTATAATTTTGTATGCAGAGATAACAGATGT